ATGATAAAAAGTTAGATTATTGAGTCTAATTTTAAATGAAAAACCAACTATTAGTCTTAAATATTTTACATTGGTATGGATTTTTATATATAGATACAAATTTAATTTTATTTTTGTTATACTGTGTATATGATTCTACTCTTGTTTAAGAAATTTTTATATATTGATACAAATTTAAGCTTTTTTTAGAACATACTGTACATACATCTATACTGTTGTTTAAGGTATTCTACCTATGTAACTCACTTAACAATGTAATGTGAATTTCTAGTCCTTGAAAGTTAATGTTACAAACTATTCAGATAATAAAGAAATACAAGTTATCAGTCACTTATAATAATCAATTTATAGTCATTTTAGGTATCTTTTCAAGGTCAAGCAGAGACATATTTTAGATAGACAGATGGTCTTCAAATACTTCAAAGACCTGCTGAATGTATAATTTAATTAAAGCCACAAGTCAAAAAGTAAATTAATACAAATTTGCTAGTTTAAGTTATAAGAGATAGTTAGAAATGAGCCTAAGCTATCAGCCTGGCTTTCATAATAAGTCTCCATGTCATGATTTGGAAGCTCCCAGAAATGACAAATAAAGACTCCCTACAGTAAATACTTCATATCAATATTACTAATACATAAAGCTTACATTTTTTGGTGATATTTGCAGTATTTTGGCCCTAGTGTTGCCAACTCTCACAAGTGGCTCAGAGCTGAGGACAAGGCCAGAATCCTCGCTTGAAGCAGTCATAGCAGGAGTGAGGGGGGCAAGGAGCCATAGATGATGATGAAGTTCTCACTAAGGGGGAAAATAAGCACAATACCCATGTGATTCTGTTAAATTCCCTGGGTGTAGTTAGACTTTCATTAGCCTGCCTGTTCCCAACTAATAACATGGAGACTTATTACGAAGTATGAAAGCTTGGTTGAAGCTTAGACTTGTTCTCAACTATCTCTTAAAACTCAAATTAACATGTTTATATTAATCTATATTCTGGCAGTAGCTTGTTATCTCCACCATACTGTACAACCTGCTTCCTCTGCATCTCACTGGTGAGTTTCTCACTCTTAGATTCCTGCCTTGAATTTCTCTCTCTGCCCAAAAGTACTTTCTATCCTCTCCTGCCTAGCTACTGGCTGTTCAGCTCTCTGTTAAACCAATCAGAAAATGTCTTTGGCAGATCCGTTAAAAGAGTTACATCTTCACAGTGTACAAAAGTATTATCCCACAACATTTCTCCCTCTTTGTCCAAATAAAAAGGAAAGGTTTCAATTCTAACAGAGTAAAACTATATAAAATATGAACAATTATCAGGTAAAAAATTATGTTCATAATGTCCAACCCATTTGTATTTGGCAAATTTAGAGAAAGTACTCTATTATCTATCCTATCTTGGTGAGTCCAAATTTTTAAGCCCAAATCACTTTCTCTCATAACTTTTAGGACCAATATAAAATATATTTTTATACCTTAAAACATTTTTTCTCAGATAAACAACTTAAGTTTTTATGTTTCTTAATATTTATAAACTTTACATCTCTTTTGTAAGTTTCTTTTCTGAATTTGGTAACAAGAAAAACTGTAAAACTATAGCTATTTATTCTTCAACACCATCAGAGAACTAGAATGATGAAAATATTATTTGATTAAACAGGAAATGCAGAGAAAGCAACTTCAAAATCATATAAATGACAGAAACATCTGGCTTCTTGGACAGTCACCCAAGTTTTTTCTGCAATCATGAGGCATCCATCTTTGGTCTATATGCCTCGAAAATCTAACTAACATTTTGTAAAGCAGGAATTTTTAAGGACCAGCCTACTTTCTCTTGGCAGTTGACTTCTTTGTGTCCTGGTTGTCCAATTTTTAAAGGATACTGTCATCAGTCAAGGCAAAGGCAGTTTCTTGCCTAGGGGCCAGCTTTTCCTCATTTAAAGAAAACTCCATATGGAGGTTCTCTGATGCCCACATTTTCTCTTAAGTAGATTGGTGCTGTGAGGAACAGACGTATTTCACTGTCATGAAAAGCCTTTTGTTATGAAAACATTTTAAGTGTCATATTCTGTAGATGTCTGAAGTGTTTAAAAAAACTTATCTATCTAAAATATATCATACTTAATCTTGAAAACATACCTAACATAACTGCATGTTTGATTATTATAGATGTTTAACTACTAACCACCATTTCTTAATTATCTTAAATAGTTTATACTATCTTTCAAGGACTATAACTTATATTTTAAATAAGCTACATAGGTACAATACGTTAAACAAGAATAGAAGCATACATACACACACACACACACATATATATAACAAAAATAACTTTGAATTTATATCAACATACAAAAACTCTGCACAAATGTAAAATATTAGTTGATTTTTAGTTTAAAATTACTTTTAATAAACTACCTTTTAATCCTAGCATTCTTATACCCCCCCCCTGATTTTTTCACTACATAGGAGAGAAAGAAGAATAGAGGAACAAAAAAGAAAAAAAAAATTAATCTAACCTCCTATGTTTAGTTTCCTATCTGGCCAAAACCAATAACCACTTGCAACTAATCTCTTTAAATATGACAAATATCAATAACCCACCAAATGACCAAAACCCACCCCTTGCAAAAGTGGACAAACATTCTCAAAATTACTTTATATCATTTGGGGGTGATGACATTGATAAGGGACCCTGAAAAAGTTGAAATATTTATCAAATCCTGGAAGAGTTAGCTGTATCATTTGTTGTCCAGACTTTGTGTAATGGGAAAGTTCAGAGCTAAACAGAAATTATAACTGGGGAAGACTGTAAGACTGAACCTTCTCAGCTAATCCCTTTGAACTTGTTCTGTATGCAGATTTTTGAATAAACTGCAACAGAGGCATTCTAAGAGGTTGGATCAACTAGCCTACTTGTCTTCATTGGTGTGTGTTCATTTATTTTTTTTTTCTGAAAACAAACTTTTAAAGGTAACATACATATCTGCATTAGCACAAGTATGCACTAACAGTGTGCATAAAATAGCTGAAGATGATTCTCTGTTCTATGTTTGAGCAGGTAAAATGCATCTGTCAAGTTTAAGGCTGCTTGAGTTGCATAATCACACTGTGATATAAATCTTCATCCATGCCACATGAAAGGATACCATGTAAAAATAAGTTATGAGGACTTTGCACCCAACAAGACTTATCAGACTCATCCAATCTCAGAGATTTTTGCATGTCAAGGGATCAGCATAAATATCGCCTGCCTTGTAGTTTTTCTTAATTTCCTCCTTCATGTCTGCAGCCATGATTTTCAGGTGGTCTTGTCTTGTCAGATATAATCTTTATTATTTTTTAAGAAATCCATAGCTTTTTGTTTCCTGTGAAAACAAAGTCATAACTTCTCTCCCAGTGCAGTACATATCTCAACTTCCATTCTGAAGTTAAGATGTTATTAATATATATAGGCTGAATTAATGTAGTAGTTTTCCACAATCCAATGTCTATAAGCACCTGTTGCTTTTTAGTCATTAGCATTTATAAAATTCAAAATCAATAAAGCACTTTACAGGATTCAGATGGCTTGTGTTATGGTGTTTCTTATTACATTCTTCTTATTATATCTTATTCTTAATCTATTCATATTACTTTACAATCTTTTTAAATACCTCACTTTACTGTTTTTAAACTATTTTTTTCTATGATTGTCTATGCCCATTTTTTTTTCTTTCCTCATCACATAAACACGTTCTCAAGCATACTTTACCTGTTTTAGATGTTTCATTCTTTACTTGTTTTAGATGTTTTTCTCAGTCTGGATCGGGTGTTCTGCATGCTGTGGCTCAGGAATATGTTGCAAAGTCCTTCCAGGTATCTGCATGCTCCTTTTGCGGCTCAGCTTAGAACACAGTGCTGACTGCTGGCTCTGCCTCCCTTAGGACTGTGAGAGCCTACCTAGCCTTCTGCCCACAGTCACAGGCCAGGAACTTCATTAACTGCCCCAACTCTGGGGAGTTACAGGCCATGAGGTGGCAAATATTTCCACCTATTCCCTTGCCAGATAGTTGGCTTTTTGTTTGGATATACGGTCTCCAAGGAGCGTGACAACTACAGTCAGGTATTCTTTGGACTGCAAGTTCCAAAATAATGACACAGAGATTTATTATTAAGTATAAAAGCTTAGCCTTAGCTTAGGCCTGTTCCCAACTACCTCTTAAAACTCTCTATTTAGCCAAATTCTCCTTGACTACATCTAGAAGCCTCCACAGCATAAATCCTTTTGATTATTTGAGCATATCAACCAAATTCATTTGCTATTCAAAATAGGCAATTGAAACAGAAATTATTATGAAGGCTTAAATATGAGCTGAGTCAATTCGGAGGAAATATTTGAGCAGAGAGCATCAGTTTATGCTTGCTCAGTATCTTGCTGCAACTAAGCAGTACATTTGAGATTTTAAGTTCACCTTCACATACATTATATGCATTTATATAGGGAAACATCAGATGAAATGGTGCAGTTGCAGTGGCCACAGCCATGTCTATGTCATAGTTGTTAAATGTCAAGCATTCTCACGAGACACGACTTTAAAATTTTAAAAGTCTTAAATTCAAAGAGTTTACAATTACAATTCATTTATGTTTGTATGTGTTTATGTGCGTGGAAGCCAAAAGTCAGTATTGGCTGCATCCTCTGTCACTTCTACACCATGGATTATTTTAGAAAGGCTCTTTTACTAAGCCTGAGGCTCATGGACTGGCTAGAATGACTGCAAGGAGCTTGTGGTATCCACCTATGCCTGCACAAAGGACCCAGGATCACAGATGCAAGCTACGACACCCTTTTTTTTTTTTTTTTTTTTTTTTTTTTTTTTTTTTTTTTTTTACTTAGCTGGGGTAACTAAACTCATAAACATGCTCTTCATAAAATATATACTCACAAAAGAAATTAATAAATCAATGAGTTAAGTTGTATTAGAAGTGTTAGTGAAATCAGTAACATGTATTTTTTCTATTAAAGAGGAAGTTAGAAGATTTGAGATCTGAGTGGGAGGCTGTAAACCATTTACTTCGGGAGCTGAAGACAAAGCAGCCTGATCGTGTCCCTGGACTGCCCACTATTGGAGCCTGTAAGTACATTGTGTCCCACGATTTCACTTTTGCTTTAGCTGTTTGCTCAAAACCATGGCTATGAGATTATCTCTGACTGAAAAGGAAAATTGGTTTCTGAATCTGCAGAAAGAAGTAAACATTTATTTTATATTTTATGCAAAAGGTCTTTGCGTGGGTCCCTCAGACACTGAGATGTTTACAGGCTGTATTTTCTGAAGATCTAATTTCAATGAAAAAAGAGGTCATGTAAGAAAAAACCATAATGGTTTTAAAAGATACTTTAGCTTGTTCCTTAAGAGCATCAAAGCTGGCTGGCTTTGTGGAACCATACAAAATTGCCAGGAGAGGACCTCTCCTTTGTATTTCTGATTCTTTGGAGGCAGAGGATTTATGGGATTAGTTTTTAATTAAAGCTGAAGGTGATTCTTCATAAGGAAACTCAACAAACCACCACGTCCCTAGCATCAAGTTGAAGGTGTAATGACACAGATGTAATGAAAAAGATGTGCAAGACTTGTAGGGTTTTATTTGTGTTTGTTTGTTTGTTTTTGCTTTTGCATGGTGCACCGAAATTATTATATCAAGGTTCTAGTGAATAAATTATGTCATTTTATTTTTTTTCACGAACTCTAACTTTTGGTTATCTCTGTAAAAATGCAATTCTTTATTGGTGTTTGTTTTCCAGAAGTTATTGGTATGTTCCATAGTCTGTGATTTTGTGAAGATAATGTGTTGAATGATATTTTTTATCAAATTGTGAAAATTAAGGGTTTATATTTCTACATAAGGTATTCTGAATCTTACAGGAATAATCAAAGCCAGGGAACAATAAAAAACCTGTTTAATATGCTGTGTTCCTAAATGGTATGATGGGGTTTCTAACTGGAAATACATTTAAAGAAAGTTTTGGTTTATAAGAACATATATAGCTAATCTATTTAATTAATGTATATGGATCAACTTCTGCGTATTGGACATCAGACAAAGTGCTGAGAATTTTCCATAAAATAAGTTAGTCTCTCATTTTATAAAGCATAGTCAATCTGGAAGAGAAAGATGAAAAGCTAATGAAAAGAAAATGCATTATCTCAATTATAAGTGCTATGAGAAAGAGATAGTCTCCCAATTCATGCCAAATGGTTTAGGACAGACAGGCAGAAAGTCAAGCCCTTGCCCTAGCCCCTTCAAACCTATCTACATTTTAATAGTCTCTCCAGTTGTCCCAGCAGACACTACAGTATGCTAAACATAGTTTCAGAGAAAATGAAAAGGTAAGAAAATTGGGAAGCGAGCGGCGATGGGGCCATTGTTTTCTGAAGTGTAGCTTGGCAAGCTAGTCTGCCTGAAAACATCAGAATGGTGATGTGACACAGTGAACATTGTCTGTGAATGGACAGAAATCATGATGGGGGGACACAAAGTCACAGCTGCCACACCAAGTAAGGTACGAGAATGGAAGTGGGTGGTAATCACAAAGGACATTGAGCCTGTAGGAGAGGCTCCACAAAGAACAAGAAAGAGCATGGAAGCAAGCCAGTATTGTCAGGCACCTGCTCCGTGTATTTTCCCCCTCAGTGAGAACTTCATCACCATCTAAGGCTCCTTGCCCCCCTCACTCCTGCTATGACTGCTTCATGCGAGGATTCTGGCCTTGTCCTCAGCTCTGAGCCACTCGTGAGAGTTGGCAGCACTAGGGCCAAAGTTGGAGAAGTGAGAGAGGAGCATTCTCTAAAAGGGGATTTTAATCTCCTTCAGCAAACTGACAAAAACTGGGCATAAAGTCAGCATACTAAACACACAAAGGCTGGGTGAAAAGTATCAACAGGGAATCAGAATGTGCTTTTATTCCAAGACAGCTTTTCTCGTGTTGTAGTTTACTCATCAGAATGAAGAATTGTTTGTATTCTTGGCTTTGTGACACATAGTCATTTCATCTAAACTGCACTATTAAAAATATAATTGAAAATATGATTTGATTATATGATTATTATTCCCTAGACTATTTTACAATACAGCAGGGTTTATAACTTGTGGTGATGGGTTCCCAAAACCCCCTCTTGCATGAATAGCTTCCTTCACACTTGGGTTTCTATCCGCAAAATGATTGTAAAGTAAATAGGATAATGCACAACATTTTTACAGGTAAGAAACTCATGGCATAGAAGGAATATTGCTAGATGAAGGACACACAGCTACAAAACAAGAGAGATCAGATTCTAAACCAATTACATCAATTGGCGTTTTGTTTTGTTACTGTGTCTTACACTATCTTTCTGTCTCCCAACACAGTGGAGATTCTAAAACAAAGACAGCAAGCAAGTAGTTAATGCTAGATTAATGCAGTCTTAGATTTCTAGGGGGATAATAGCGACCTGTATTGTGTCTTGAAATCAGTTTGCTCTGAATTTCTTAGAAACCTGGAATGCTGAGCGTGGCATAATCATTGAAATTGTCATCTGGATGAATATTTTTCTTTTACATGTGTGGAGACTGGGGTTCAAATTGGCTTTTGATTCGATTTGATTTGATTTTTTTTCTCAAAGTAGCCTTTTAAAAACACTAAAGCAAGCTTCCCTGTGGCTATTGACTTCCATTATATAATATGATGCAGTGGTCTTGTCTAAGCTGTAAAAATTGTTCAAATTCACAAGATAAATGGGCATGCTCTCAACAAGTGTTTGAGTGTTTGATATGCTTTGATGATCCTATACATCTGGGTGTCTCAATTACCTCTTATTGCATAAACTATCCCAAAATGTGGTGACCTAACGCAATGATTGCTTACTTACTTTTGATTTTGTGACTCTCCATTTTGTACTGTGACCAACTGGATGGTTATTGTGATTATTCCGCCCAGTATAATCTATATGAATGCAATTATTTGGTATCTGATGAGCTAGAAGATTCAAAACTGTTTCTTTGCATGTTTGAGAGGTGACTGTTCACTAGAGGTCCTCACTACTACATACATCCTTTTATCCTCTGGTAGGTGAGACTCTAGTAGGCATACATACATCCACTCATCTGGCTTTATTCTGTCATGCTCTTAAAACTGTCTTCTAAGATGAGGAGGGTGGAAGCTTAAAGATCTCAGGATGACTAAACTTTGGCATTTATATATTATTTCCACTATTCTCTATTTGACAGTGCAACTGGATGGCGGGGCACCTTCGGGGAGGGTAACCTGGTATATGACTGATGATTGAAGCCAGGGATTTTCAAGTCCAGTTCTTAGGATCCTTCGAGGACTGTTTAGCAGCAAGAGTGGGCTAGAATAAGGAAGCAGGCTCATATTAGACAACTTTCTGGGTTTTTGCTTTTGCTTTTGTTTTTAAAACGCTTGATACAATTAACTTTAAAGAAAGATAGGTTGAACACTCAGTGGAATTCATCTGGTTCGTTTTCAGTTTTTTCAAGTAGGCCCCAGAGAAATTTCTTTTTTCTTTCTTTCTTTTCTTTCTTTCTTTCTTTCTTTCTTTCTTTCTTTCTTTCTTTCTTTCTCTCTCTCTCTCTCTCTCTCTCTCTCTCTCTCTCTCTCTCTCTTTCTTTCTTTCTTTCT